GAAACCGGTACAAAAACTGACACACTGGACACTGCTATCATGGGAATAATAAGGTATTTTTGTCTCTGATCCAGGAACATCATGCCATCATCCATTACTCATGAAATTGTTGCAGGCTAATTTTCATAGAGCAAAATCTCAGACCTTTCATAATTCATAACAATTACCAGATGGAAATACTCAGAGCTTAAAACGTTGAACTGCAAGAGCGAGTTAAGGTATGCTCTCGGAATTCAGTCCAAATGATAAATACCAGCCGTGGAAGAGGGTTAAGATATGTGAAAGAGCCAGAGATTCAAATCTGTCGGGAATTTGAAGAGAATAGAGAAAACTGAAAGAAGTAGTAGATAATGAAAAAGTTCTTCCCAAAGAAATACAGTGAATAATCACATAGCTAATTATTTCATAATTACAAAGGAACAGAGCACATCTTCCATATGAAAAGGTGGTAGAAACCACCTTGACCAATTGCCAGCATTAACAGTAGGACAAACTGACTTGTGGGATTTCTAGTGTGCTCCATTAAGGACCCACCAGCCTATAATATTCTCGACAAAAATGTTTACTCTGAATCTGGACATGCAGAAGTAATTGAGCAAGTCCAAGTAGAAGAACATTCTATAAAATAATTGACTTGGACTATTCCCTCAAAAGTATTCTTAGCATGGACAAAAAGGCAAAGATGATTTTTAGATTAAAAGAGAATAAAGAAACACAAAAGCTATGTACTGCATATAGTTGTTTGTTTGTTTGTCTTTTTGAGACAGTCTAACTATGTAGTTCAGGCTGGCCTCGAGCTCACATTGCAGCCCAGGCTGGTCTGGAACTCTTAAGGATCCGCCTGCTTCAGCCTCCCCAGTGCTGAGATTATAGGAGTGTACCACCACGCCCAGCTCCGTTGCATATAGTTTTTTGGATTTTGTTGTTGTTGTTGTTGTTGTTGTTGTTGTTGTTATTGTTGTTGTTGTTTTGGTAAGGGTCTACAGGGTCTCACTACATAGATCGGACTCGTAGTGATTCTCCTGTTTTCAGCCTCCCAAGTGCTGGGATTACAGGAGCACCACCATGCTCAGTGCAGTCTCAGTGTGTCCTGGGGACGAGGCCAGCATGGCACACTGGGGATCAAACCTGGCCACTGCATCTGTCTAAGCAAGCGCTTTAATCCGCTGAGCTATTTGGCCAGCCCTTGCATATAGTTCTTAAGCCAGTCCCTCAATTAAAAAAAAAAAAAAAAGAGGCTAGAAAAGACATTACTGGGAAAATTTGAATATGTAAGTTAAATAATAGTTTTGCCTCAAATTGTATTAAATCATATTTAATCAATGTTTAAAAATTGTTGTAAAAGTTGTTTTAACTTTGTATACTCCTTATTCTTTGAGAGATAAATACTGAAGTATTTAGGATAAAATGTTTTAAATGCCTGTAACTTAGTCTTAGATGATTCACGACAAAACAAAATGTATATTTTATATGTAAAACTTACATGTGACTTTTTTCAAAATAAAAAATTTGGGAAAAAAAATTGTGAATTCCAAGAAAATTTAACCAAGGAAAGGACTTGTGCCGAGACAAATTGAGGATCCACTTTAAAACTCAAAAGTTTAAAAATTCCATCCTGGAAGTTTTTCAGAGTGCCGTAAATAGGCTACACACACAGTATAAGTAGAAGACAAAGGAGCAATGTCATCCAGGTTCTTAGAGCTTGTTAGTGAGAACGTAGATTTGTACGCTTAGCCAATAGAATTTGAGGTGAGCACAAAGAAGAACCAAAGGGAGATGTTTTCTCAGTCACATAAAGGTTAAGTTTTGCATACCACACTTTCTCTGAAGTCCTTATGTGCTCCACATTTGCTTTTAGAATGCCTCTTTTCCCCCAAAATTTAAAAAGCAGAGTGTTGGGCTGGGGATACAGCTCAGTGGCACAAGAGCCTGTCTCGCAGTATGATCCCCAGTACCATACACAAAAAAACAAGAATCTCGTCTAAAAAGCAGAGGGGATTTTTTTTTTGGCAGAAGCCACCCTGCTGTCCCACTCCCTAGATCACAGCGGCCCCTTCCAAAGTCACATCCTTGGGCTAAGTCTGCCCGGAGGCGGATGGCAAATGGCCCGAATGTGTTTGCTGCCTGCTACCAAGAGGCAAAATGCCAATGTTTTTAAGAGGTCATTGCCCTCCGACTGTGAAATGATAATGTGTTAAATTATGTGTTTAATTAATTTCTGCCCAACAGCTACCATAAAATTGGAAAAACAATTCCTCAGGCGGGATCCATCCCCGAGCATCAATGTGCATAAAGGCACACAGCAAAGGGTCAGAATTTCTCATCAGTAAACTTACATCTGCTGTGGCTTGATGAGATGGACCAGTTCATCGTCTCTTGGTGTTGCTGCCATACACTTTGGTTGCCATAGCACAAAATGTTTGCTGATTCCTGTTGGATCAGAAACCAACAGAAAAGCTTCCTGCTAGATTTTGCATGAGCAACCATCCTCTTCGCAAGTTTGAGACTTTTTTTTTTTTTTTTTTTTTTTTTTTTTGGTGGAACCAGGGATTGAACTCAGGCCCTTGCACTTGTCAGGGAAGCGCTTATTCTACTGAGCCATCTCCCCAGCCCCTAGTCTGAGATTTTTAAGGCAAAAGGAGAAAAAAAAAATCATAGCGCGATTAGGGAGACTAAGAGGGAATGAACATAATTATCTTCACTGATATGAGCTGTAACGATTTCTTTTCTTTTTTTGTGTGTGGTTAGGACAGGGACTGCAGGGTCTACAGGGTCTCACTGCATAGATCGAACTTCGTAGTGATTCTGTTTTCAGCCTCCCAAACTGGGATTACAGGCACATAATACCATGCCCAGTCTCAATCGCCGTCTCACAAACTTGTCACATACAAAAGTTACATGTTTAGTTATATAGGTCTTGATTTAACTTGGTCATAATCATCCAGCTAAAAATTGTAACCATGAGGTACAAAAAACTAATTCCATATTAATACGCTGAGCTGTAAAAGGCTCAAGTCAACAACTTCTGACAATTGCCAGTTCTGCTGATAACCCACTGCTATTATGGACTATTAGACTATATTGGGTTGTTTTGCTGAATTCAAGTACCTACAATATTTGAACTAGCATCAAGTATGAAAGGGCCCTTTAAAGCCTTCTCCAAATACAGCTTCTATAACAGCAATGGAAACCCCTTTCTGACAAAACGAAACAAAAAAGAGGGATAAAAATAAAGTACCATTTTGTAGTGAAAAAAATATATGTGTATATACAACATAGTTAGGGTAGATATACAGCTACTTTCTCTTAGTTCAATGAGAAGAAAGGTTTGTACTATTATTGTTTCGACAAGATACCATGTCTGTATCTTGTACTTTGAATAACCACTATGAAGACACCAGTATGCAATGTGTCAATTGTTGTAACTATCCTACTAGCCTGTTTTGAAACTGTTTCATGCTATTTTATTTTCTCATCAAAATGAATAAAAAATTTTAAAAAATCACCATCTCAGTGCGCTCCTGGGGTGGGGCAGAGGATCAAACCCCAGCAGCTGAGCTCTGCCTAAGCAGGCCCTTTAGTCCACTGAGCTATCAGACTGGCCCTGAGCTATAACGATTTCTTAACTAGTCTAGAGCTGTATCTACCTTATGAAAATGAAACTAGGTGAAACAGTAAAAGACATAAGTCGGGGGCCGGGGAGATGGCTCAGTGGAATAAGCACTTCCCAGGCAAGTGAAAGGACATGAGTTCAATCCCCGGTTCTACAAAAAAAAAAAAAAAAAAAAAAAGACATAAGTCAGCTACTCTTTTTTTATGGGCTACATAGTGTTTGGCAACAGCTTTCCAATTATTTGTACAGGTTTTTTTTTTTTTTTTCATTGTCTATCTCTGGCACTGTATGTTTTATGAGACAGAGGCCAAGTCTTCTTTTTTTTAAATCTGAATTATTTCTAGCATCAAAGCCCAGTGCTTAACACTGGTACTCAAGAGATATTTATAAGTGAATTTATATTAAATTATTATAATGAACTTATTCACTACAAATTATTAAAAATGAATTTATGTATTTATAAATGAATGAACCAATGATAAAACCAGGTTTAAAGCCCAGTTCTCTGGACTCGAAGGTCATTCCCACATAAGGCACCAGATACATTTCCATTCACAAATAAGGAAATTTTCAAAGCAGAATAAAAGACATCATTAAAGTAAACCTAGACCATGTGCTATAATCCCCCGTGTCATTTTCTATGAAATTGTGGCTGAACTAATTTGGAGACCTGTTTATAGAAAGTCCTGGCTTACTTATTTGAGATTAGTCATGCTAAAAATATAAGTCTTAATGGATTGGTAGGGCACTGCCGTGGACAGCTCCTGGTAGAAAGCCCTCAGCACCCCAGTGGATCGTGTTTTAATGTCTTAACGCGGAGAAAGCTGGCTCATGCAGCCTTCCAGAAGGATGTGCTAAAGGAGGTCACAGAGCTGAGGAACTGAAGGGGTCCAAGATCTTTGCTGAGGGCCAAGAGAGCCAGCATCTAGAATCAGAGGGAACAGCGGGAGCTCCCATTCTTCCCACAGAGTGTCACCTGCTCCAGGCCCTTTTCCCCTGCCCCTGCCTGTGAGATCAAAAATAGCATGTTTTTATCCCCCCTTGAAAGCATACTTGGTCTAATTCAGAACTGGTTACAAGGCATCAATCCTTCACCAAAAGCAGGGGCTTTAGTTTTCTCTCTATCTTTACGTTACATTAACTTCCACAATGTTTCGCAGAGTGCCGCAGTAATATGCTACACACACAGACACACAGACACACACACACACACACACACACACACACACACACACTGCCTTTTCTTAATCACACAGAAAACCATGAGTGTTAATATAGCATTCGACTCAAAGCATGTGCACCGTTTGCAATACCATGCTGGCATAGAGCTTTCATTTGAGATTTCTTCTCTATCCCCTTCTCTTTCCCAACAACCATTCTACTTTAGGAAAAGAAGCCGGTGGGGGAACAAAGAGTTTGGACTGCAAAACTGAGGATAGTGCTGAAACTCCTGCCCTAGAAGACTCCTTGTCATCCCCCAGTGACAATCAGCAGCACTCCTGGCAGGTTTCCACAGATATCGAGAACACAGAGAGGTAAGTGGGAAGCGACCCTGAATACGCAGTCAGGGTTCTCCTCCAGGGAGCGTTTTGAGGGTCACAGCCAAAACATCCAGGGTTTTTTATGTCAGGTCGAGAAGAAACAGCGCTCATTGGCCTGCTGAGAAAACACAGGGCTGAAAGAGACCAAGGAAGCGCCTAACCCGCAGAGAAAGGCTGGGGTTTGAGAAAACAGTTCTAGTTGAGCCCCTCCAGCACTCTGAGAGTCCATGGAAAAGCAAAGCATGTGCTTCCGTGGAGGGGAAACGCAGCTCAGCCCCTGGGCTGCTCCCCGAGATGCCATTTGTGTGAGGGGAAAGAATCTAAAATCCAGCAAGGATGCTTCTAGTAGTCTTGGATTTCAGCTCCCTCCCAGACAAGGCCGCTGCCCTATGACTCTGTGGTGATTCTATTTCACTTAGGAAAAGAAGGCAATAATAATTACTAACCAGTGCTAGGTCCCAACTAAATGCTACAAATGCCTTTCTGCGAAGGAAGAAGATGAGGCTTTCACCTGATATCCGTGCTCTTTGTTACCTGTGTCCCCAGGAAAGGCCCAAAGCTGCTGAATGAATACTGGGCAATTCTGCTGTGTCCTTTGTGCAAGAGGTTGAGTCACAGACAAAATAATAAACGATTCATTCTTTATTTTTAGAAGTGTAACACACAATGGCCCTTATAGCCATTGTGGCTCTTCTTACAGATTGTGATATAATTCTAAAGGTAATTACTGAATTTCTGTGTTTATAGAAAATTGGAGCATGTGGTAATTATGTGCTATTAATAAAACTTGGATTTTATAAGCTTGAATATCCAAGAATTCAAACAATAAAGCTGTTTGGCTCAGTTTGATGGAATTCTGGGCAAATCATGAAGCAGCGGTTGATCTTAGTTTATAAAATAGAAAACTCCCAGTGGGTGAGAGGAGGTATACCTGCCAGAGTGCCGAAATCAGGGCGGAATTGATCAGAAAGCCGTTCTCCTCTGTCACCTCGCATAGGAGCTATGGCCTTGGCTCTTGAGCTTTAAGAAAGCGAGATGTGGATGCAGAAAGCCTAGGGCAGGACAGCCACAGAGGGGTGGTGTTTCTGGTCAGCTGGAAGTTCAGATTCCAGTCAAAGACGTGAGAAAGTTGGGAGAAGCAGGGACAGGACCCTGGGCCCAGCACCCAGAGCTCTTCCTGGCTCTTCACTGAAATCAGAGAGTCTCAAACCCAGTCGTGTGTTTATCTGACCATGAGCGCTTTTGAAAAACACAGATGTCTGGGTCCCATCAAAATCAATTGAGTCTGGGTGTCTCCCCAAGGTTGGGGCACAGGCGATTTTTCAGGTGACAATCTCTGCTCTCCAGGAAGCCTGTGCCAGAACTTCAGTTGCGCATTCCTAATCCTTTTCTATCTTCCCTGCGGATCTCACACAGAAGCCAGATGTACCCCGTGTACTTGATGGGGTGGAGTGCGGGTGTGGTTGGGGGTGGGTGCCTTCCCTCCCTGCCCCCCCCACAGGGTCTGGCCTCGGGGAAAGCATTCCTACTGTTTTGACAGCAGCATTTCTACAGCTTCCATGCTCTTTCCCTTCCTTTCCCAATCACCAGTTCCTGCCCCCTGTGGCTCCTTTTGACCTCGTGAGGAGGCATCTTTGGCCTCCCTAAAGACAGTGGCCCTGAAAAAAAAAAAAAAAAAAAGACAGTGGCCCTGAAACCATGTCAACAAACAGTTGTGTTTTATGAAATGGACTGAAAGATTCTGTACTTAAAATTAAATGTCACCTCTCTTTCTTCAAATGCCAGAAGAAAAAATAAATGAGTGGGTAGAAATGTTTTCAACTTCAGAACTTTTCCCCTCAAGTTTCTTAAGCCACAGCGGTGCCTGTGAATGCTTGTCCCTCCTGCAGTTGATGAAAGATGTATCTGGGTTTTGCACCAATTTTTTTTCCTGGTTTTTTTCGAAGGAAATCTATCACTATGTCTTGGGTCTTCATTACCTTCACTGCACTTCACAGTCCTGGGATTTTATGACCATGTGTCCTGTGAGTAAAGGAGGACGTTGAAATGTGCAGTGGTGTGCTCTCACCTGCCACAGGTTGAGACTCCATGAAGCTAGGAAAGACAGACCAGGTCACCAGGGGTCTCCTCTCCCCCTACCCTTGTCCCTGCCTCTCCTTCTCCCTCTCCCTCCATCTCTTCTCTCCTCACGAAAGCTGTTTTCTAGAAGCTAAAAAGTTATTGCTTTCACATCATTCAATTTGATAAGTGCTGGTGCTCACAAATTCTTAACCCATGTGTTACACTGAATTCCAGTTGTAAGGAGAGACTTAAAACCAAGCAGGTGGAAGTGGAAGACCTGCACAGCCACCAGGGTCTCTGACCACAGCTGTTGCAGCACTAGTCCCCAGCTTTTGGCCTTCCCCACTGCTTCAGTCCTGCGCTCCTGGACTTTCCCTCAAAGTCTAAAATACCACCTTCTCACCAGATGCTCTTCTCCCATCCCAGCCAGCTCTAGTCAGGGGTCAGGTCATGGTGGAAGGGTTTGCCACAGTCTTTCTCTTTCCTTCCAGGGCCAACCCAGTTCAGACTTCTTCCTCACAAAAGCAAAATAAATTCACTATTTGCCTAGTGGAAGCAAGAGCTAATACAGTTAGGAACAAGTCTCATCTTGCCCTTCAGTTGTCTCATAGCCCAGACCTTGAGATTTCATTGTGAGAGTTCACAGCTGATTATTCTTTGTTTTTATCAATTTTACAGAGACATGCGTGAAATGAAAAACCTTTTAAGCAAACTCAGGGAAACTATGCCTTTACCACTGAAAAATCAAGGTGAGTCTTGTCATTTCTCTTTGAGGCAGAGGATGTTCCTTTTTACATGATAAATATGGGGCTTGTTTCTGGAGAAATTAAAGCAAGTATTTCCCATTTTATAGGAGTATTGAACAGATGTGTGTTTTTCTTTGAAAACATAATGATGAGACCTGTGTCTCTCCGGTGCTCTGAAGGGAGCCAGGAAACCCTTTGACCCGGAAGCAGATTCTCCTCCCCCACATCACCAGACTGGGGTCTATCACATGCTGTGGGAAGCACTTCCTCAGGTGTGGTCACACGGAAGGACTGAAGACTTGGTTTGTGCCTTGAGAGATTTACAACCTAGTAGAGGAATTTAGGAATACACCCAAAGGAAGATCACTGCCATCCACACGTGTAATTACCTAAAAAGTAATAGTAATAATTAACATACATTGGGAGCCTACAGTGTGCACTACTATATTATCTTAATTCTTTGTTTTGTTTTGTTGTGTGAGGGAACCCAGGGCCCCACACATGCTATCTATATGTACCACTGAGCTATATCCCCAGCCCCCTCATTTAATTCCAGTAACAACTTTGAAGGAAATGTGATTGCCCTTTCCCAGCTGATAGGACACTGAGGCAGCGAGGTTTATTAACTTAGCCAAAATCACACAGACTGTAAATAGAAAAGCTAGGAATGAACTCAGGCTACCCCAGGAATAGCCAACCCAACACAAAAACAGGATTTGCAGCAGAATGAATGACGAAGGTCTCTCCACGCCTGTCAACTGTCACATCCCTAGTAGCTAGAGCCTGAGACACAGTAATATAACGCTGGAACAAACAATAAATCTACACCTAATCTTGCAGCCTGTGGACTAAGAATGGATACATAAAACAAGCAATAAGCACTGTCTTTAGGCACACGTAGCTAGAGCAGCCGCGGGAAAACATCAGCTTCAGAAAGCAGTATGTAGAAGGTCTTTTTAGAAGCATGAAAAAAATTCTTCTCATTTCTACAGAGCAGAGCAGGCCAGGGAGCTGCTTGCCTGAGAGTGTGGAGGAGGGGAGGAGGAGAGCTTGGCAGCAGAGCTGAAGCGCCTCCTGGCTCGGGGAAGAGCTCAGCAGAAGGTGGAGAGGTGGAAGTGAGAACACCAAGCAGCGCAGCTGAGGAGCAGTGTGGCTGGCACTGCATGGGGCGGGGGTCAGGAACAGAGGCAGGGGATGTGGTGCACTGGGAGAGCTGAGCACCCTAGAAGGGTTTGGCCTCCAAGGCCACTGGCTGGAGTCATAGGTGGAGTGCTTCGTGGTGTTCCAAGAAAGCAGGCAACCTGTTGGAGCTCAGAGAGACCACTCCAACCTCAGCACGGAAGATCGTTGCTAGAAATGATCGTGGTACGGTGGGCTTGAATGAAGGCTAACCTTGGATCCATATGCTGCTTCGGACCCTCACCAATTTTGTGCTCTGGAGCACACACTTAACTTCTGAAAATGTCAGTTTCCTCATCCCTAAAAAGGTTTTAGGTTTTAGTAAGACTTCAGAGGGTTGCTGTTTGGATTAAATGAAGCAGTGGTCCTATGCCTACTACCAACCTTACTGAGAAAAAAAAATGCCTGACAGTATGCTGTCTTGCAAGTATTTCTGTTGCTACTGTCATCAGTAAATATTGTTTATTAGTTGTTTTCCCCAGCTTTGCTCAGGAAAACCCCAAGTCACTATAGAATAGAATAGTTCCTGCTGCTATCCACCCTGAGGAGACTGAGTCCCCGGTCCGTGTAAGGCTCGCCTTGAGCCTGCAGTTCACAGCACTGACTCCTGGGACTTCAGACTTGGGCATCTTCTGCATCTGAAGGTTGTCCCATGCTGTAATGCATCACCCAGGGGAGCTGAACCTCCCACTCCACTGCCCAGAAGGAAGGCGTCCCAGGGTCCCCCAGCCTACATTTCACAGATAGCATAAAACCTACCATTAAATCAGACCTTCTTAAACATTTCCCCTACATCAAGTAATAATTCACCCAGTAGGTTTTGAACTGCACTTTAATGGGAAAAAAATTAGAAATTTTTCAAATCAAATTGGTAGGACAGTTTCAATGAAAATCTCACTTAGGTCACTTTTATAATCATAAGAGGTGGGGCTGGTGAGATGGCTCAGTGGTCTAAAGCACCTACTTGGAACAAGCTTGGCAAAGCACAGGGACCGCGGTTCGATCCCCCAGCACCACATGCCAGCCAGCCGCGCCCCCTGGTGGGCTGAGCTGGCCACACACACACACACACACACACACTAAATAATCATAAGAGGTAATATAAATATTCTGTATAACTTCATATTACTTTAGTAAACAAATAGTAATTAGAATTTTAAAGACTCTTTAAAATATAAGAGTCATAGCGGAAGACCCAATACTATTATGGGCTACTGGACTCTTTTAGAATATTTTGCTGAGTTTACACACCTATAATATTCAAATAACAGAACTTAACAAAAAAAGGGGATACAGATGAATGTCCATTTGGTATCTGTGTATTCAAAGTGGTTAGGATAGATACATAGTTAATTCTCTTAATGAATACAGGGATTTGTTCTAATAGTGTTTGTAAATAGGATATCATGTCCGCATCTTGTACAGCAATTAACCACTAGGAAGAATATATGCAATGTGTGAATTATTGAAACTGTCCTACCAATTTGATTTGAAACTGTCTCATTGCTATTTGTTTCTCAATAAAATTATGGGGGAAAAAAAGAATAAAGATATGTCAGATGCTCTAGAAAAAAATTTAAAAATGAAATATAAGAGTCATAATAGACATTGATACTGTGAGGGAAAGTATAAGTGAAAAGAGAACAGGCACCCAGATAAATGACACCATGTCACAAACCTTCCATGTACTTGGAGAACAAAAAAGGAAAAGCTGGGAAGTGCAAGGACTTATTATTCTGAAGGAAGTGGTACAATAAGATTTTAATAATAATTAAAAAGTCAAAATAAAGTAATGTAGGAAATTCAAGTTTCTTCATATCAGGGAGAAGTGAAACCCCATACATGTACAAATCAAGTGTGTTCTATATCGGGGTGTATGTTTAACACATACCCCAGCATACTCATTGTGAACGAAGCAGTGGGACAGAGAACTAACAGGCCTGGGGAGGACCAGAAGCAGTAGTCCAAGACTCTTGGGGACTCTCCAGGAACATGCAATGACAGATGCATATGTCATCTGTTAATAAACAAATCATCAAGCTTCCTCTCCTGAACCACATAGGACAGGATAGACCACAGAGGTGCCCCCTTTCGGGTGTTTCATTTATTGCACTGGCCTGGGTAACAGGTGCAGGAACTGGTGAAGGGCGAATGCTGGAGAAACTATTCTAGTTCTTTTCTGTGGAATGTTATTATCAAAACACAATTTTCACTAGTTGAAAACCATTACAAAAAGCCATCTGTTCCCTTCCTGGCTTTCTTGTTCCCTTTCTCTTTGTTTCATTTATGTGAGTATTTGGAACAGAGAGAGAACAGAGGGGGTGTGGGAAAGAGACACCACTCCGGCTCTGGTGTTTCCCGCCTTAAGCCCTGACCTTGTGCCTATCTGCCAGTCTAGACTCCACTCTGCTCCATCTCCACCTTAGCTGTTACTCAGAAGCTGTTCTGTGCTGATTTCAGCATTTAAAGATTTAAGCATATCTTTCCTCTTTCCTATACATTAACATTTAAGAAAAATTTACTAGAAATTGATTTTCAGTGGAAAGAGGAAGGTAGCCCAGGACCAAAATTTTGATGGCTAGTCATGCAGCCTTTGTCTTAGACAAATCTTTCCCATCCTTCCAGTGTAAGACTGGAAACAAAGAGGGACACAGAAAAAGAGCAGGCCTCCCTCGTCCTGCTGCAGCTCCCAGCAGGATCTGGGCACCATGCGGAGCTTCTGGCTCCTGGCCCGCTGCTCTTTCCCCTGCTGCCATGTCCCTCCTGTACTAGATTCTAGGTCATTGGCAGTTCTGTAGGGAGCTTCATTAATTATGATCGTCTGGCTGTGTCAAATGAATTACAAATGGAACCACCTGTGGAGAGCCCGCAAGGTTACTGACAAAGGCTAGAAGGAGATTAGAAAGTGAAGGACAAGCATCTTCTCGATGCACACTGCTATGAAACAAAACAAACTGGCAGAAATAAATTAAGCCTGAAAGACAGTTTCACCTTTTCTGAAATTCTGACTTAATGACTGCTGTGGAATGTGCTGGTATATTCCATCTTGCACAGAATTTTTGGCTGTTGATATCATCCCTCAGCTCAGTCTGGAAATAAGTCAGAAGTTGAGTCTGTTCTAGAATGGATGTCCTCCTAGGGACAGTACTCCTTCACACTAACTTGGGTCTACCAACACCTATCCCAGACTTACACCTTGTCTGCTCCAACTGGGCTCCGTATTCAGAATCAATCTGGCCATGCAGGCAGAGGAGTCCTTGGATACTTGGCTCAGGATCGCTGGGGGTGAAGCTACTTTCTCTCCTAGAGATCCTTTAATTCCTTTCTCCACTGCCTCATGAAACTTCCACTTCCACTTGGTATCTGAAGGTCATTCTGGACATTTTACCAGTGGCTGTGTAAAAGTAGCTTTTACTCAGTATGATATATGCAATCCCCCCCTCCCTCCTCCAATCTAATCCACATGTCACATTCAAATGCATTACTCTGGCCATCCTGAGTAATCAGAAACATTTGTTCTTCGTACTCACAAATGTTAAATGTCTGCTCATTGTCTAATAGAAGGAAAACAGACCTCTGTCCCCAGCACCTGTGGCCCCATCATCATCCAGCATGTAAGAGTCCCCTGTTACATGCCAAGTTCTGTGCCAAGTGCTAAGAAGTCTCTTCTCCCGGAAGCTGTCTTTTTTTAAGAATCAGATGAGAATCTCCTGGGAAACTTTTCCAAATCCTCACAGAGTTTGTGAAGAGCCTTCAGGGAAGGCAAGTGAACTCTGAAAATATCACACACACACGCACACACACACACTTGAAAAGACACAGAA